TCAAAGTGATTGAAATCTTGGTTTGGAGTTTCTTTGTTTGGTTATGGAGGCGTCTGGCCGAGTGAGTTGCTATCAACTTGACCTTTCCAGGCTCTGAAGAAGGCGAAATCCGCCGAAGCGTCAGCTTAATCGTGAACAAAGAATAGTAACACCTCGCGTTTGCTCAACAAAAATGCGAAGAAAATCCTTTTCTATGAATCTATGATGATCCGAACTCCTTAAATGCTCTAGTGATCGAGAAACTACGGTCACTAGGCTACTAAGGAGCTTCGCCTCAAAGGGTGTTAATTTAGGTGATATTGCACGAGCTACTTGTTTTAGAAGTAATTAAAGTACTAGTTGAGAGAAACCCAGAACGAGAACTTCCATGGCGCAGTGTGTAATGCGTGAGCCACTGGAAAGGAAAGTCGTGGTTCGATCTGACCTGGGGTCCAAGTTTAGCCAATATCTCATCATCGTTGTGGTTGTATTTTACATCATACCTTGCCGTAAAAGGTGATACAGTAGCTGTAGACTCTCAACGCAATAGACTACCTTTATGCATGACGGCTGACGGATAGAGAATGTAACGTCTGACTATCCAGAGAGGAAACGATATCTAAGTATCCAGATAGGTAGAAACATATTTAAGTAATGAGAAAAAAGAACGTTGGGTGATGTAAAAGTGTTTCAAAATGCGCCAAATATCAGATGATGCAAGCTCATTTATAAGAAACAAGTAATTGACGTCACTTACAAATAGCATTTGAACATCTCTGTGGTCTTCGTTGCGTTCATGACTAAGAGAACTCAAAAATAAATAATAACCCAACTTTCTGACGCCACTATTATTTCTTGGTATCTCTTCTTACCACCTACTCTCTCTCCCAACCGCTAATGACCTTTCGTGCAGAGGCCTTATCTTTTAAGGAATCAAACTCTTCTTATCACCTACTACCCTGTCATTTCAAACCTTTAAACTCCATCCATTCTGAAGCTTTATCTATTATGGAATTAAAACACATACAGATTTTCGGGCGTTGATTAACATGAAGCTCGTTTACTGAAAGATTGACGACTTTTTATAATTTTATCTTGGAAAGAAAAGCATTGCGACAACGGTGCTGAAGTGTAATGCACACGAAAAAAACGTGCTTCACCTACACGGTGAAGCGATCTTTTCCATGATTCGTTGAAATTTCCGGAAAACGATTTTTAGAAATCATCAGAGAAAGCTTCGATAATAAGCAAAAAGATGAAAATAATATCCATTGGAAGAGACCTTCAACCAGGCAGGTGCGCTTCCAATGACTCATGGTAGCTTCTGCGAGGTATTTAACCGAAAATTCAATATTATGTAAGTTTAAGCAATAGTGTTTGTTTCAGAAAGCCTTTGTAAAAGGACTCAATTTGGGTTGGCATAAAATTGACAACCTTTTGTTGTTCAGTAGAAAATGAAGACCGAAATTGATAGAGATTCTCGTTTTCAGATGCTGATGGGGTGGGGGGGGGGGGGGGGGGGGGGGGGGGCTTAGGCTTAGGCTTAGGCTTAGGCTTAAGCTTAGGCTTAGACTTAGGCTTAGGCTTAGTCTTAGGCTTAGGCTTAAGAGTAGTTAGGTGCTGGATCCTAGTAACGCTTGCGAGATTCCTATTGAACTGCAGACTATGGGTGAGATGGAAATCGTGTTATCCAACACAATTACTTTTAAAGATTTTTTTGTCGTTGTTGTTGGCGTTGTTGGTCGATGGCTAACGTTTATTGTGTAAGAAATGTTAAGTTGACCGTCAAAAGTATGTCCAATGTGCAACATTGGATTGGCTTTTCTTTCTATGGAAACATTGTGCAGGTGGCCTCATTCTCTAAAAATTATGCCGAAGGTAAAAAAGGACCTGAAGATAAAAGTGGAACTAAAGATAAGGAACGCGTCGAAACCTCATGCATTCAAAACCAAAAGATGTGCGGAGAACCTCGTTTTAGCTCACGATCTGACTACCACTGTTTAATGTATTTCACTTGGCGACTGTCATTGGAATACTTTTTAATATTCATTAGTGGTGGTTAGCGGACACCAGTGGTATCGTAGATACTTTACATGCTTTGGAATTTTTGAAAAAAAAATTTAAAGAACCATTATATAGCTAGCAAAATGGTGACCATTGTAGAGCCTGCTGGACAAATATGGCCCCATATTCCCTTTCTACATATTCATAAAACGGTTACTTCTAGATTCTAAATTGCTGATAGACGTAGAACTCACTTACAGCACAAGGTCTGACACGGGCTTCACCTCCTAATCAACTGTTCACAGAATTTTACGGTGGGAACAATGTGCAATGGGAACATCACCCGGATCTATCCAAATACACCTACGGACGGATGTACAAATGGTTTTATTGAAGGTAAAGGTCAATTAAGCGCAGGTGAGAGACTAATTCCATTCCATGGATCAACTTTTGCTTGGATGCGCCACGACCTGATGTGTGCAATTCGCCAATTTCTTTCAACACGAGATAGAATGCATGTTATATTTTGTGTATCACTAGATAATGGATTTCTTTCGCTACAAGATTTTTACCACTTTTTCTGTACTGGAACTACTCCCAGCCTTTTTGTTTAGTCTAAAATATCATTTTAATCGAGAGTCCTTGGTGTAGAACTGTGATTTTCAGACATCCACGAGCCGAGTAACTGCAATGCCAAAAAAGATAGCCCTTGTGCGTCCTTATAAAGGAAACACTTTATCGATAGTTTTAAAATTAAAGCAAATAGTCCACTGGTGCGCCATAGTACATAGACAATCAAGAGAACAGATTTTGAAGTAAAAGTCATTGTCGTTGCACAGCAATCCAAAACATCAAACCTAAAACTCTTGAGGCACTTTGAATAGATTCCAAAAATCTAAAAATGAACCGAAAAGAGTGTCTTGTGATCATGCGTAACCTTGCGCCATGCCTACGGGTCATCTTTTTACCTAAGCCCGGTGCGTTCGTCGCCCATGTGGTGCTCTGTGCGAGAGGTTTCCATCAAATAATTGGAAGACTTGCAGATGAGTCTCTGAAAGACGCTATTTATCATGCGAGTGAATATTTGCGCATAAGTTTTATATGATGATGTTATGAAATTTTTCGGATGAATAGATTGCGTGTCAATTTGACCTTTCCAGACTCTGAAGAAGGCGAAGCCTCCGAATCAAGAGCTATAAGAGCTAATAAATAAAATGTTGTAAGAACAAGCTCGTTTCTTCTCATTAAAAAGCCGTGAATTATCGATCAAGGTCGAGATTAAGTGTAAGTCCGTCCTGGATAAATGCTAAGAGCTTTTATTATTTTATTGCATATAAAAATACAGCACGAGGACAGCAATGAAAAGTAAAATTTTTTCAGAGGGTGCTCGACCTGACCTAGGCAAAGCTACCCTCAAAGCGACACGGGCATCGTTTGTGAGAACGTCGTCAACACGAAGAATTCTAAAAACGAAAATCATCGGTGGAATTTTGTTAGCATACACAGAAGTGCAGGCAAAATATCGACCTTCCACATGATGTATGACAACCGTCGATGTGAAGAATGACACACATCAGTGCGTAGATATCGCACAATTGGAGCGGTCCTTTATGGTGGCCTTTCCGAAATACTGAAAAGTTTACCACTTGCATTCCAAAAAAACCTACTTTTTGCTGTTCTCATTCTCATCTTTGTTTTATGCACCTACATGCCCAAAAAAGTCTAAAGAGCAGTAGTTAGAGGTGAACACACGAAGTGAACTGCAACACACACGCGATCGTTGCTTCGAATGCGGCCTCATCAAGCCCTTCATTTTTCTGGAGTCGACAAATTAGTATCAGTATTCTCTGAAAGGTTAAAAGCACTGCCTTCATACATTGATAAGATCTTAGAAGTCACTACATGGACAATGCATTTTACGAATGCACTGCTATGCTACGATACTACGAATAGAGTCGAAACATTTGGCATTGACCAGTCCCTTAGGGATGCGTCAAGCATTCGACTCTGTTAAACATTAGAGAAAATATATATATATTTCGTGCTGGTATTGCCTTTCAAAAACCTATCCATATATCAAACTGGTGTCTCTAAGCAACGTACAGTTTGGCGCATTCATCTGGGACGAGTGCCTGAGTTAGCTGGGGTGCAGAATCGAGCCAGCGACCCTGTTCAGAGCGCAGGGCTTCTCTAATCAGCGTGTTACACTCTTTCCAAAGGCATCAATACCGTTATGGGTTGTCATGAGTTCATAACGGTCATAATCGGCAGTTCGCAGAAACCAATTTTGAGCTCGAAAACACCACATCGAGAAGGCGAACAACTGTAGACCATCAACTCGAATCATGAGCTCTGATGAAGACGATACGTTGAAATGTTAGCAGAGTAAAGGCAGTCTGTCAAATTCGTGTAAACTCAACAATTTAAGCAATTCAAACATATTCTGAGCTTATTGTTTGTTATTCGAAGCTGCGTCTAGTCGCATCAAAACTCTTCTATTGCAAAGGTTAATGTTCTGACACCAAAATAGCGCGTTCAATTTGAACCGTGCATTGGTGGTTTCAATTCTCCTCAAAAATGGATGACACATAAAATGGTAAGTTATGTGTGACGGAAGCTTAACCTAAAGATTTTCAGGCCGGGTTTATTAATTGGTAGGAGACGTTTTGGTTTTCAACTCTTTTTCTTCCGCATGATTTCACTTTCTCTATCAAAATTTTGTCTAAACGCAAGGTTATGCAATTCACTCTGTAATTTTATGTTGATGGGTTATGGTAGTAGTAAATGCTTTCCATTGCAAGAGACATGCAAAACGAAGGACCCGCATGGTGTTGTAGTGAACTTGTTAGTCCCCGAAATGGATAATAGCGCGTTCGTTCCCCACCGCAGACACCTGCGGTCCCGAGTTTTGCAAATATCTCAGAATCATGTGGCTGTTTTCCATTAAATACCTTATGCTCATTACAAGATTGCGACTCATCATTCCAAAAAAGTTTTTTTTTGTACTGTGAATCTTTCTAAGCAGGGACGACAATCAAATCAAAATTTTTACCTGGTCCGTAAGCTAGGAAAACGCCAAGCATTTCTGGATAGTGATTGTTATAGCCGCTCATACCGGCAAGAACCTCTTGTGGTTTCCGCTGAGGAACTTGCTTGCGGGAATCTCGCTGAAAGCTCCTATATTATATGTTTCTACATTAAATTGTTTTTATTAACAAAGAAGTTACGTGCTTTAAATCAATTTAACAGTGTAGTATAAGCGAGAGAAGCGCCAGGATTAGAAGTGCGGTGCAATAAGGCTGGTTCGACATCGTCCCAAACCAACTAAACATACAATCCCTCCTGAGACGGTAAAATGAAATCAATCTTGTTTGGGGAAACTTGCCTCTTACCTAAGTAGGACAGCGGCTGTATGTGTTTAAGGCTTCGAAACGTTGTGGTTGAGTTGCCTTAGGATTCCAGGGCTATTCAACTCGACCGGCACTCAACGATATCCACGAAGAGGACAGAATGCACGTCTCGTGACTACTTCATAAGTAAATTCTAATACCTCCTGGGAAAAGGATTCTAGTCAAAGAACCAAATGGAAAAATCAGTGGTTTCGACACAACAGGTGGTGACGGGTCATAGAAATATAAAACTTAGCTATAGTTTTTAAAGAACATTATTTTGGTTTCTTACTGTTTTTCACGAGATTTCTTTGAGATATTCCAAATTAGGACCAACGTAACTAAGGGATAAATGCGACTTATTAGTACTCAACGTCAAGACACTAAAAGCAAACTCTTGGCATGAAAGATGGCTTGACATTTTAACGATTAATAGCTACAGTAAGCCCATGATAATTGACGACAAGAAAAATGAATACAACTGCATCAGCACTCGAATTCTTGAAGTCTTACTTCTCCAAACTCTGTCCTCTTTCTTCTACATCTCTTGATTTTATCGCCATTCACTTTTTTAATAGCCATCTTATAACACTGGTATGCAAGTTATCGTTGTAAAAGCGGCGAAAAACCCACTAAGCTCTTTAAGCAATGAACGCCTACTGTTTCTCATGATCTGCATCTATTTGACCTCTATGAAAAGACAAATGATTTTTTCAGCCACAACAATGCTAAGATATTCGCAAAACTTTGTCCCCCGCCAGATCGAGCCACGATTTTTCCTTCCGGGGGCTCACCCATTACACAGTGCGCCACGAAGACCTCTGCGCTGCGTTTCTCTCAGCTAGTTTTCTATCTACCAGAACCATCAGCAATCACCCGTCAACGGGATTAATCTGGGAATCAGATCGACTGATTTCACATAATACCCCCTGCCGTAAAAATTGCAGTAGGCAGTAAATAAAAAGTAAACATTGTTTTTCACTCCATCTTTTTCCTTCGATACAGAATGAAAAATGTTCCAGCTATATGTAAAATAATTTTGTGACGTCATCAAATGAGTGAGACTTTTAACAACTAATTTAAATGATGTAAAAACTATAGCCATCAATTTCTACTTTTTCCTTTATTCATTTTGATCTTAAAACAAAGACAAAGTTGCAAAAGCAATGAATAGTTCTTAAAGGAGCATTTCTCTACAAACCGTAAGGATAGCGTATCCTGGCTGGGCAACCAATACTAGATCTGGCACTCTGACCGATTTCCCATAGTGATACCACTCAGGTAAATCACCGATCTGAAACACTAATGTCAATCAATCAATCGTTTCGGTCACATAAAAGATCATTCCAGACATCAATTAAAAATTGATTGAAAGTTAATTAATAAGTTAAACGAAGTCAAATCATTATGATCCTGAGATATTCGCAAAACTCGGGATCGCAGGTGTCTGTGGTGCGGAACGTACGTCCTATTACCCTTTCAGTGGGCTAACACGCTCACCACCACACCATACGAGTCCTTCGTTTCGCCTTTCTCTCGGCAGTGAACGCCTTAGCTACCGAAAAGGATAATAGCGCGTTCGTTCTCCACCATAAACACCAGCGGTCCGGAGTTTTGTAAATATCTCAGCATCATTGTGGCTGTATTTCACACAATACCCTGCCATTAAAAAATACGCAGCGAACAAAAACTGACTGAAATGAAGAATTTTGTTCAGTGAGTCTACCGACCAATTTTCGGATGATATTGATTTGAAAATCCACTGCGCTCAGAGCTATTTGTAACTCCTTGTTTAATTTTTAATTTTTTTGCTGACTCTTCATTTAATCAACAAGTTTTTTTCAATAATTCTAATCAATCAGCGCATTCTTAATTTGGAACACATTAGCTTCATGCTTTGCCTCCTAACATTTATCTACTTTCTTCCGATTCCAACCGGACTTCTATTTGTTTCTGTCTCTTAAATATCGACTTTCATTAAACCCCGGTAGCAATATTTAATAATTTCCTATACGATTGAGCGAACACGTGATTGATATGAACTTTTATTCTACTAATGATTCGACGTCTTCGTTTTCGTCAGAGCAGGATTTACCTGAGTCGATGGTCCACATTGTTCACAGCTGGTTGTTTATCGCATCGAATCTAATCCCTTGAAGGTAGCACCGCACGACTGGTCACTTCACTCACTGGTTGCTGTTACTAAGGTTTAACGACAGTAGAGTTTGGCTCGGCTCTTAAGATATTGACTGCCACGCTACGTGCCAACAAAGAAACTGTTAACTGCTTCAGGGCGCGTTATCATCCGCCCTCTTCAAGTAGATCATATTGGAGGAGGGACTCGATCGACACTCGTCATGTATAAAACGCTGAGTGAAGCCAACCATGCGGGCGGTGCCCCCTCCGTCTGACTCGACTCGATGCGAAGACGACCAACTGTGGACCATCGACTCGGATGAACGCGGCTCTGAGAAAGCCGCAGGCGAGGGAAAGTTAGCCAAATAAAACTTTTATAACAACCTCATGTTAGCTCAGTCGTGATGAAAATTGTTCAGGTTTCGCTTAAGACTGCGGATAGGTTTGTCAACCAATGGGGTTGCCAAGACAATAGAAGAAATATAATCATTTAAAGAACACACTTTTGGAGTGGTGTAGTAGATTTTGACATTTGGTATTGGTGTATGATTTCGCAGTTGTGAATAGACTTGGTGTGTTTTTCCAGTGACGGCAATCAGTTGCTTAACAGCACCGTTCCCAATCGATGTATGTAGTAATTCCATTGGAAGATAATCGTCCAGTACTCTGAAAATAATAGCTTTTCACACTTTGTCCCTTTTTTCTACCGTTTCTGCAAGTGCCTGAATATTTTGGATTGTATATTACACACTTTTTCTAGCGCTTGTTGTACAGTGGTTAGACAGGCACCGTAGTATGCACGTGACCTTTGGTTCGATTCTGCAGCCAGAGCAAACCAAGCTCTCCATCACTCTTAGATTAGTAAATTGGTACCAGTCTATTCTAGAACGACAAGAAAACGCCGAAAATCTCCTTATAAGCGTATTTTCGTTCAATATTTTGTAATTTTGCATTCTATTTTTTGCTTCTTAACCAACGCAGTGCGGAAAGTTTAGTAAAAACAAGATGTTGCCGGCGAATTAGCTTTTTTTGCTTTTAGTTGTTGATTTACCGTTCTATTGCTACAACAGTGGGCGTGTGTGGAGCAGTGGTCGGAGGTGCTCTGCAACACACACGTGGAATCGATCCCCGCGCCCATAGCTCACCAACCTTTCCATCTCTCCGGGGTCGATGAATTGGTACCAGACTTGTCTGGGAGGATAGCAGCACTGGCTCGATACATCGGTAGGCCACCGTGAGTCATTTTAAAGGTTAGATATGTATTCAATCATCTCCAAGCGGTGCTTAATCAAGTCGAATGCATGGCGCATCCCTCGCAGATTGATCAACGCCAAGAGCTTTATCCTTTATCTTTTTATTAAAATCCTTTCACTAGAACTTAAATTTAGTTCGGCTTTTTTAAAACCGTTTCATTATGACGCTCGAAATTTATAGGAAGCAAGTAATTTACTTATGACGACTAGAACTTTTAAAACAACGAAGTGTGAATAAACAGGGGTTGATTTTTTATCCCTCCTAGCAAATTTTGATTTCCATTTCTTCTCAGAAAATTTCGTTTCATATAAGATAAAAATCTCACATGAAACCATCTCTTTTGCTACCGCTATGCGGGTCATATTCTTAGAAATTTTGATAGAAAATATGGTTGTGTTGGCAACTCTTTCAAGGTCTAACGCTGTCGAGGATCCACTATGGGATAACCTCTTCTGCTTATCTAGCAACGCTTGCAAAAGTATCGTCCTCCTGAAATCGCGCTCGATAGCAGTAACCATTTAATTCCTACTATACAGCTCTATAATTAATTCGATCACTAGAATGATTTTTTGTTCCAGGTTGCCCTTTCCATTGAGCTTTACTATGACTTCAAACTACTTCTTTTAGGGACCGAAGTCTGGTCATTCTACGTAGGTTGTCGAAGAAGGTCAACGTGTTTGTTATGTGTTTTTAACACACATTTTAGTGTCATCGCGTAAATAACAGTAATTGTGCTTCGCTCTTAGCACTGTGGTGCTTCACTTTTCAACAATTGGCAAATGATAAAATGGCATTGTTCTACAGTTGTTAATACATATCCAATGGCCGAAATATGGCTGTGGAGTTGCTGTGAAACCTGTGAAAGATCTTCCTGCTTAAATAAGAACGTTAAGACTGTCCACTTCATACATGACCGCTTTTCGTTCTACAATTTTCGAGGTATTCCATACCTTCACATGTGTGATATGGGATACTTCTAGCATCGTCCTTTCGACTGCGCTTTCTATAACGCTAAGCGGTCTTCTATCTTGCTAACGTAACGACCAGGTCTCTGACGCACACGTTAAGGCACGAAGAATCGTTGAGCCAAAAAAAATAGGCACGGATTCAGATGCTCTTTGCCCTCTTCACTATATGCTCGATGCTCTTGAAACACGCTGCTCGTTTTCTCCTAGTCAACTCTAGAGCTGAGACGTCCACCATCTTGACTCACCGATCGATAAACGCAGCTGGAGCATTCGAACGAATTCGGAGAAGTCGAGCGTAAAAGGGGTTATAAGTTTCTAATCTGTTCCTCATTAAGACCGTTTTTTGTGGAACTTGATCGAGGACCACTCTTTCCACAGACATTATCAAAATCGGCAAGCATTCGTTCCACTTGGGTAATGTTTGGCGTTGTAAGGACGATGTCATTAGCAAAGCGAAGATGGTGTAACTGCCGACCATCGATTTTCACTCCCATATTATCCCATCCCAAAGTTCGCATGACGTTCTGGAGGGTGGCGGTAAATAATTTTGGCGAGATGGTATCTCCATGCCAAACCCATCTTTCAACGCCGACGTCAATATCGTTATAAAATGTTGGTATATTGATTATGAAGTTTTTATATAACTTCCGAAAAATCTTCGTCTTCTGAGTAGGGATGTCCTAGCTGGCCACGGCTTTCAAAACTGTTCTATCTCAACTGGGTTGTCTCAAAACCAGTTTGTTGATAAGGACTGACGGAACGTCCATCAAGTGCTATGGTCTGATTCTGTGTAGAATTTTTGGACAATAGCAAAATCGCTTAAGCACAACTTTGATTTACCATGATGTGGTCTATTTTGTTATACAACTCTCCAATCGGAGACTCCCACGTCCAGCGTTCAGAGTGAGGCTCCTTTAATTGAGAGTTACCTCAAATAATCTTGATCGCCACTGCAAAATTATGCAGCCGCTCCATCTGCTCGTTCCATTTCATTCCGTGTGTCCCAATGTGACGTTTTTCAAGTGTTTTTCTGTCTCCGTCATTAGAGATATAATCTCAGTTGATGATCTTAAACAATGTATGGTCTTTTTGTAGAACTTATCCAAGTGCATAGAGAACGTTTGTTCTTCGTCTTCGTCATAGCTTGATGTCGGTCCTTGGACAGCAAATATTGGTAAACCCAATTTCTAGAGACTATAAAAACAGTTTCAGGGTCCATTAAGGTCTAAATTGTTCAGAAGACAATAAATCGGATCTCTACGTATCAGAAACCATCGCGTTTATAGTGCCGACTATATTTCAGAAGACATCGTTCAGTATAAGTCAATCTGATAGTGGGTCTTTACGTTCTCAAATTTTCTAAAGCATTTGCTTCTTCGTGAAAAACAATCGTTGTTAATCAAATGGATGTTTAGTGGCGGCAGAACTATAGAGCTTTTTTTTTTAATAAAAAGCGTTTGGGTTGGACCAGTTGAAGAGTATCAACATCTTGATATTGATCCACATCTTTTTAATCGTAAACGTCCGATTCGGGTTGTAAGCTGTTCGAATGAATCGATGTTAATGGGCAAACTCGTGTTGACGAGAACTCCGACGCCGCCGACTCCTCTACTGTTGCATGTTCCGAAGAACAGTTCTTCTCCGGTTCTTCTCCGGTGTGGGACCACGTTAAATGGGTGGCGTCGTCTCGTCTCGGCCAAGCTGATGAGGTCGTACTTTATGTGAGACGTTGAGTGACGTCTTCTCATCATCTCATTCAGCTCGGTGAAGTGTTACCATATCCTTCTTGCATGTTTGATCAAGTCTTCTATCGAGGACTTAGACCCAAGTGTGCGTGCATTATAGGCACAGATCTCCGGCTTAATCTGTTGAGATATAGGAGGCCTAGATAGAACCCAGATTTTTGCAGCCTGTCCATACTCGTCCTACCCAACGTTGTCGTATCGCAAACGCATTCGGAGCTCGGGGAATGAGGCCCACTTATTTTACTGTGTTTTGCATTCGACATTGATGTAAATTTTGCTGACCTATGGTCGTTTGGGCTAGGTATATTCACGTGTAGCTCGCCAGTCACTCCTAGTATAGACTAAGAGTCCATTTGTTGGACGCGACCACTAAACGCCTCTCATGTACTTCATAGTTACTTCATTACAGACTTTTTGGCAAATTGCCTCTTATAACACAATCCGCATAGACGAAAACAGAAGTATCCGCGCATGAATGAATGTGTCGAACACAGAGGTTATATGTCAAATCGGTACAGTTGAAACAAGGAGTCCACCCACTAGCTCCACTTGCGCCTCAGGTAACCATCACGTGGCTTCTCGTCCACGATTAACTCCTGTTCTCCACCTTAGGGCTCACCAAGTTGCTACGCGACTAAACAACATGAAATCCCCATGTGAGGGGGACCCGTGGTAACCCCGCTGCACTTTGGTAAATTTCGCTATCTTTTCGATATAATCACAATTTGAGAAGCCATGTTTTTTTGCATAGCTACCCAGCTTTTCTTTCAGCGGTTTACCGCCTCATCGTGGCCAGGGGATGTTTCTGCGTGTGAGATGCGATGTACAGTGGGAGGTTCATCTCGCTAGCAAAGCCTCTCAAACTGAGAAGTCCGACGTTTCCGTCAGGCAGCCCAGCTAAAAATGAACCAAAAATTACCACCGATCTGCTAGCAAACCAGTCTCACGGTGGCAAATCTCCCTCTGATACACAAAGAACCAAACGACTGCTTAGGACGTTTACAACCTAATGAAGACGTCGTCTAGGTTGACGTTGGGATTTCAGGGAACCACTCCGGGTAAATCAGCAAAGCTCTAGCCTTAGTTTCTCTCGCACTGGCTGCTCATGTCTACGATGTCGGTGAGGCAAGCGATAAGAGGCGAACAAATTTTGGGTTGCACAAGAGTTTTTTGAAATCGACAAGACGAGCACGTCCACGACGCGCCATGGAGTTTGATTCTTGCCGTGCACCTATATCACCTGAACAGTTTCTTCAGACGCACACCTTTACGCTCTTCTTGAGGCTGCTGATCGCTACAAATTCCATGTGGTCGCCTTACAAAAGCAGGATGGCCTACGTACGCCGACCAGATGGCGAAAATTTTTTCATTCGTGGAATGACGTTTCCGAAACGAAATTTCAAAGCCGCTTGCATTGTCTTACAGCGAACTACTTAAAGCGTAGTTGAAATACCACCGAGTAATTTTAAGCGCCAGCTAGTTCGTAACCGCCTATACGACCGTCTATGTGCAACTCAAAATTGCATAATTTGCCCCAGTGGTAGAGACGGTGATTGCATGAGCTCGGGTATAGTTTCTCCGATCTCCTGTAAGATGCGCGGAAACGAATACTTTGGCGAAACGGCTAGACCCCTCTGTCACCGCATAAAAGAACACCTAGCCGGCAAACATAGGCCAAATACCCTGCTAGGCACGCATAGGACCCAGAGA